GTATAGTACAGTGGAACCTCTACTTGCAAGAATGTCCATGTGCGAGTTTTTCCAAAAACGAGCAGTCGATGGGTAGATTTTTTGCTTCCATACGCAAGCAAAATTTCCACAAGCAAGGAGACCTCAAGGCAGGTTCCTTGACACTGGTGAGGGGCTCTTGCTCTTGATCTTGGGAATTGTATCTCATTTGTTTGTTGGACTACCTTATTGAAACTTGGGCAATGTATGATGGAAAGATGCTTCTTAACGTGCACCAAAAATGAAAGAAATCTAAGCATAAATAATGGAGTTCACTTCTCAGCAATTAGCCACCCCATAGTGGTAATTTCGAATGGATTTTATGGTTGTATTCTTGATTTTTTGGTCTCATTTGATAGAACGGAAGTTTTTTTTATTATCACACTGGCCGATTCCCACCAAGGCAGGGTGGCACGAAATAGAAAAACTTTCATCATTCACTATCACTGTCTTGCCAGAAGGGTGCTTTACACTACAGTTTTTAAACTGCAACATTAACACCCCTCCTTCAGAGTGCAGGCACTGTACTTCCCATTTCCAGGACTCAAGTCCGGCCTGCCGGTTTCCCTGAACCCCTTCATAAATGTTACTTTGCTCACACTCCAACAGCACGTCAAGTATTAAAAACCATTTGTCTCCATTCACTCCTATCAAACACGCTCACACATGCCTGCTGGAAGTCCAAGCCCCTCGCACACAAAACCTCCTTTACCCCCTCCCTCCAACCTTTCCTAGGCCGACGCCTACCCCGCCTTCCTTCCACTACAGACTGATACACTCTTGAAGTCATTCTGTTTCGCTCCATTATCTCTACATGTCCGAACCACCTCAACAACCCTTCCTCAGCCCTCTGGACAACAGTTTTGGTAATCCCACACCACCTCCTAACTTCCTAACTACGAATTCTCTGCATTATATTCACACCACACACTGCCCTCAGACATGACATCTCCACTGCCTCCAGCCTTCTCCTCGCTGCAACATTCATCACCCATGCTTCACACCCATATAAGAGCGTTGGTAAAACTATACTCTTATACATTCCCCTCTTTGCCTTCAAGGACATAGTTCTTTGTTTCCACAGACTCCTAAGTGCACCCCTCACCCTTTTCCCCTCATCAATTCTATGATTCGCCTCATCTTTCATAGACCCATCCGCTGACACGTCCACTCCCAAATATCTGAATACATTCACCTCCTCCATACTCTCTCCCTCTAATCTGATATCCAATCTTTCATAACCTAATCTTTTTGTTATCCACATAACCTTACTCTTTCCTGTATTCACTTTTAATTTTCTTCTTTTGCATACCCTACAAAATTCATCCACCAATCTCTGCAACTTCTCTTCAGAATCTCCCAAGAGCACAGTGTCATCAGCAAAGAGCAACTGGTGACAACTCCCACTTTATGTGTGATTCTTTATCTTTTAACTCCACACCTCTTGCCAAGACCCTCGCATTTACTTCTCTTACAACCCCATCTATAAATATATTAAACAACCACGGTGACATCACACATCCTTGTCTAAGGCCTACCTTTACCGGGAAATAATTTCCCTCTTTCCTACATACTGTAACTTGAGCCTCACTATCCTCGTAAAACTCTTCACTGCTTTCAGTAACCTACCTCCTATACCATACACCTGCAACATCTGCCACATTGCCCCCCTATCCACCCAGTCATACGCCTTTTCCAAATACATAAATGCCACAAAGACCTCTTTAGCCTTATCTAAATACTGTTCACTTTTATGTTTAACTGTAAACACCTGGTCCACACACCCCCTACCTTTCCTAAAGCCTCCTTGTTCATATGCTATCCTATTCTCTGTCTTACTCTTAATTCTTTCAATAGTAACTACCATACACTTTACCAGGTATACTCAACAGACTTATCCCCCTATAATTTTTGCACTCTCTTTTGTCCCCTCTGCCTTTATACAAAGGAACTATGCATGCTCTCTGCCAATCCCTAGGTACCTTACCCTCATCCATACAATTATTAAATAATTGCACCAACCACTCCAATACTATATCCCCACCTGCTTTTAACATTTCTATCTTTATCCCATCAATCCCAGCTGCCTTACCCCCTTTCATTTTACCTACTGCCTCACGAACTTCCCCCACACTCACAACTGGCTCTTCCTCACTCCTACAAGATGTTATTCCTCCTTGCCCTATACACAAAATCACAGCTTCCCTATCTTCATCAACATTTAACAATTCCTCAAAATATTCCCTCCATCTTCCCAATACCTCTAACTCTCCTCTCCTATTTTTAACTGAAATCCATTTGTTCTCTAGGCTTCCTTAACTTGTTAATCTCACTCCAAAACTTTTTCTTAATTTCAACAAAATTTGTTGATAACATCTCACCCACTCTCTCATTTGCTCTCTTTTTACACTGCTTCACCACTCTCTTAACCTCTCTTTTTTTTCTCCATATACTCTTCCCTCCTTGCATCACTTCTACTTTGTAAAAACTTCTCATATGCTAACTTTTTCTCCCTTATTACTCTCTTTACATCATTCCGCCAATCGCTCCTCTTTCCTCCCGCACCCACTTTCATGTAACCACAAACTTCTGCTGAACACTAACATTACATTTTTAAACCTACCCCATACCTCTTCGACCCCATTGCCTATGCTCTCACTAGCCCATCTATCCTCCAATAGCTGTTTATATCTTACCCTAACTGCCTCCTCTTTTAGTTTATAAACCTTCACCTCTCTCTTCCCTGATGCTTCTATTCTCCTTGTATCCCATCTACCTTTTACTCTCAGTGTAGCTACAACTAGAAAGTGATCTGATATATCTGTGGCCCCTCTATAAACATGTACATCCTGAAGTCTACTCAACAGTCTTTTATCTACCAATACATAATCCAACAAACTACTGTCATTTCGCCCTACATCATATCTTGTATACTTATTTATCCTCTTTTTCTTAAAATATGTATTACCTATAACTAAACCCCTTTCTATACAAAGTTCAATCAAAGGGCTCCCATTATCATTTACACCTGGCACCCCGAACTTACCTACCACACCCTCACTAAAAGTTTCTCCTACTTTAGCATTCAGGTCCCCCACCACAATTACTCTCTCACCTGGTTCAAAGGCTCCTATACATTTACTTAACATCTCCCAAAATCTCTCGCTCTCTCTCTACATTCCTCTCTTCTCCAGGTGCATACACGCTTATTATGACCCACTTTTCGCATCCAACCTTTACTTTAATCCACATAATTCTTGCATTTACACATTCATATTCTCTTTTCTCCTTCCATAACTGATCCTTCAACATTACTGCTACCCCTTCCTTTGCTCTAACTCTCTCAGATACTCCAGATTTAATCCCATTTATTTCCCCCCAGATTTAATCCCATTTATTTCCCCCCACCGAAACTCCCCTACCCCCTTCAGCTTTGTTTCGCTTAGGGCCAGGACATCCAACTTCTTTTCATTCATAACATCAGCTATCTTCTGTTTCTTGTCATCCGCACTACATCCACATACATTTAAGTATCCCAGTTTTATAAAGTTTTTCTTCTTCTCTTTTTTAGTAAATGTCTACAGGAGAAGGGGTTACTAGCCCATTGCTCCCGGCATTTTAGTCGCCTCACACGACACGCATGGCTTACAGAGGAAAGATTCTTTTCCACTTCCCCATGGACAATAGAAGAAATAAAGAGGAACAAGAGCTATTTAGAAAAAGGAGAAAAACCTAGATGTATGTATATATATATGCATGTGCGTGTCTGTGAAATGTGACCAAAGTGTAAGTAGGAGTAGCAAGATAATAATAATGTACTACATAATAATTATAATAGACAGCTTCAAAAGGCCGTCGCTTGATGGCAGCGTTTACCACAACAGAGTGGTTGTGGCCGCCTCCACCTATTACATAATGGCATATTTTATTCTTTCTAGAATATATATCAGGTTTCTGTGTTATTTATATTGTTTATTATTTCATATTAGATGAACCGTGATAGATAAATAAGCCGTAGAGTTGATGATAGCGAAATATTCAAGGGGTATTTTGTCCTGTCTCCAGACACACTCGTTGGCCACCGCCACAAATACAATGACATTTTCTTCATTCTCGAGTATATATCAGGTTTCTATGTTATTTACATTGTTTGTTACGTCATATTAGACGAACTATGATAGATAAATAAGCCGCAGAGTTGAAGATAGCGAAGTATTCAGGAGGTACAGTGGACCCCCGCCTAACGATCAGCTCCCAACTCGACCAATTATTTAAGTGTATTTTTGTAAGTGCTTTTGTAGGTGTATTTTTGGGGGTCTGAAACGGACTAATCTAATTCACAATATTTCTTATGGGAACAAATTCGGTCTATTACGGCACCCAAACAGACTTCTGGATTGAAATAATATCGTTAGGCGGGGGTCCACTTTATTTTGTCCTGTTTCCAGATAAACACTTGTCGGCCGCTGCCGCCACATATTCAATGACATTTTATTCATTCTAGAGTATATTTATATTGCTCATTATGTCACATTAGATGAACTGTGATAGATAAATAAGCCGTATAGATGATATTAGCGAAATTATTCTAGTAGTATTTTGTCCGGTCTCCAAACTCGTGTCCACCACCGACACTGCCCATACCACTAAAAGAATTACATATTTTATCCATTTTAGAGTATATATATCAGGTTTCTATGTTATTTATATTGTTTATTATGTCATTAGATGAAGTGAGATAGATAAATAAGCTGTAGAGTTGATATTACTGAAATTATTGAAGCACAGAATTCCACTGGAACGGATTAATTGCATTTCAATTAATTTCAATAAGGTAAATTGACTGCAAATGAGTAACTCCAGTTGCGAGCAAGGTCATGGAATGGATTAAACTCGCAAGTTGAGGTTCCACTGTATAAGACCTCAGCTAAGAACAGTAATAAAATTTATAGCGGTCATATGAAGCTTATCCCAATACTAACCAAATGCCATAATGGCAGCATCACGCAGTCTCCAATTTGAGTTCTTTATATTTTCTTTGACAAATGGAAGAACATGTGGCACAATATCATCTTCTGTACAAGTAGCCAAGAGCATAACGCAGACTCCAGCAGCTTTGCATGGATTCCACTCATCATCATCATCTGCTTCTTCCTGCTTGCTTAATGTCATCATCAACACAGGTACAAGGTACTGGCAAAGAAAGGTACTTTAGTCAATTATTTCATTTAAAATGGAAATTTTTATGGACTCTATATAACCTACAAATTAATCACCAATATACTGAGAAAGCAAATTATTACCAGCATATTTTCAATTAAAATGCTAGGGTGTTAAGGAGAGGAGCAGGATTAAATTATGGGAAATCAAATACAAAATGGGAGGGGACACAGTTACTTTTTGCTTATGATACTGTGCTTATAGGAGATTCTAAAGAAAAGTTGTAAAGGTTAGTGGACGAGTTTGGCAGGGTGTGTAAAGGTAGAAAGTTGAAAGTGAACGTAGATAAGAGTAAGGTGATGAGGGTATCAAATGATTTAAAGAAAAATTGGATATCACATTGGAGAGAGGGAGTATGGAAGAAGTGAATGTTTTCAGATATTTGGGAGTTGACATGTCAGCAGATGGGTTTATGAAGGATGAGGTTACCCATAGAATTTATGAAGGAAAAAAGGCGAGTGGTGCGTTGAGGTATGTGGAGCCAAACGTTATCTATGGAGGCAAAGAAGGGAATGTATAAAAGTATAGTGGTACCACCACTCTCGTATGGGTGTAAAGCTTGGGTTGCAATTACTGCAGCGAGGTGGCTGGAGGCAGTGGAGATGTCCTGTCTAAGGGCAATGTGTGGTGTAAATATTATGCAGAGAATTTGGAGTGTGGAAATTAGGTGATGTGGAGTTGCTAAAAGTATTAGTCAGAGGACTGAAGAGGGGTATGGTCATTTAGAGAGAATGGATCAAAGTAGAACAACTTGGAGAGCATATAAATCTGTAGGGTAAGGAAGGCGGGGTAGGAGTTGTCCTCAGAAAGGTTGAAGGGAGGGAGGGGCGAGGGGCTTGGACTTCCAGCAAGCATGCATGAGCATGTTAGATAAAAGTGAATGGAGACTAATGGTTTTTGGGACCTGACGAGCTGTTGGAGTGTGAGCAGGGTAATATTTTGTGAAGGGATTCAGGGAAACCAGTTAACCAGGCTTGAGTCCTGGAAATGGGAAGTACAATGCTTGCACTTTAAATGAGGGGTTTGGTATACTGGCAGTTTGGAGGGAATTTTGAACTGTCGTATCTAAGTGCCTCTGCAAAGACAGCGATTATGTATGGGTGAAGTGAATGTGTTGAATAATGATGAAAGTATTTTCTTTAAGGGGATTTTCTTTCTTTTTTGGGTCACCCTGCCTCGGTGGGAGACGACTGAAGTGTTAAAAAAATATATACAATATTCCCTCACCTGTAAAGCACCCTTAGCATAAAATCTGGATGTCCTCTCTGGTGGACGGCCAAGTTCAGCAGCTTCAGAAGCTTCTATAGCAAGATCAACTTCTTCATCACATACATTGGACCAAAACTCAATTCCCTGAAGTGCCACCTCATCAATGTCACTCTTCATGGCTTCTAGTGTAATCTGTGTATAAACAAATACCATAATATATACTATATGTACACGAATGGATCAAAGTAGAATGACATGGAGAGCGTATAAACATGTAGGGAAAGAAAAGCGGGGTCGGGGCCGTCCTCGAAAAGGCTGGAGAGAGGGGATAAAGGAGGTTTTGTGGGTGAGGGGCTTCCAGCAAGCATGCGTGAACGTGTTAGATACGAGTAAATGGAGACTAATGGTTTTTGGGACCTGATGAGCTGTTGGAGGGTGAGCAGGGTAATATTTAGTAAAGGGCTTCAGGGAAACCAGTTATTTTTATATAGCTGGACTCGAGTACTGGAAATGGGAAGTACAATGCCTACACTTTAAAGGAGGGATTGGGATATTGGCAGTTTGTTGGGATATGTTGTATATCTTTATACGTATATGCTTCTAAACTGCTGTGTTCTGTGCACCTATGCAAAAAAACAGTGATTACGTATGAGTGATGCAAAAGCGTTGAATGACGACGAAAGTATTTTATTTTTCGGGATTTTTTTCTTTCTTTTTGAGTCACCCTGCCTCGGTGGGAGACGGCCAATTTGTTAAAAGGGGGGGGGGGGGCACTTTCATGCATTGATACAAATTTTTGGAACTAGGTAGTTACTTCAAAGATGTGTAAATACACAAAAGGACCAATATTTCAATATTTTTTAATATTGTACATGGTGAAGTTAAATTTGCATTTTTTTTTTTTTTTTTTTTTTTACCTTTGCCACCCAGCCAAAGGTCAGGCTTTTCTATTAATTAGCTGCTTAACTGGACTGTTGCTATTGGTGGACAGATAGTTAGCACATCTGTCACAGCTTGATTTATTCATCTCCTATCAGATATAATTATCAAGTTTCCTCCACTTTTAGGCAATATTTCCAATACTTGCTAGTAGTAGGTTGATTAGTTTTTGACCATACAGTGTTCTCAGTGCATCTGCAACATCCCATACTTCACAGGATCTATTTTACACTTCCCTATCCCTCCTGTTTTGTATCTAATACGCCTTTAGAGTTCATTCTTTCCATATACGTCTTTTGAGCAGTTGTAATGTCACCACTGAACATGTTACTCTAACACATACTTACAATTTTGGCCATCTACCACACAAATTACTAGTTATTTAATATCTCCAAATGATACAAAGCCATGAATAGTGTTTTTACATCTCTTATTATTTTGATAAGTTCTAAACAAAATGAGCCAAATATAATCATGTACTTGTTACTTATACTCACAAATAATGTTTTGTGCATTCACTTTGTAAATGCTCCAAACACTATTTGCTTCTGTGGAGTCCCACTTTTATAGTTAATCATTTTTTACTTTTTAAACCCCTGAATGTTAGCAAAGAGGAAGAATTTAGCATTTAGGATGTTTGGGTTATTGGGCTGTTAGTACCTCAGGTGCTGTACAACCATGTAATATAATGGAGTACCTATTCCTGTCCTCCAGTACTGGTTATACTGTGGGCTGTTCTAGATTTGTAATGGTGCATTAAAAACTGGTTTGTCACATTATAATACCATGCATTTCTGTACCCCTATTGTCTTTCACTGTTTATCCTTTCTCTTCCTTTTTACACCAATTCTCCCGATCAAGTTAGTTTTTCCCAAGCATTCATTATCTTGAAATGGAGGGGCAGAAAATATTAAAAATTTTTCCCATTCCATTTTTAATATTTAAATACTTACTGCAAATAATGCAGGACCCATGTAGTGTTCCATATACTGATAATATAGAGACATTATTTTCACAAGACACTGCAGCGCTGCCACTTTAATCTGGGTATTCGTTGATTGTGTTGCTTCACAGACCACCTAAAAATAAAAAAACATGAATTACTAATTCATTCTTTTCCAACCTGCCAGCCATTACTCACCAAGGCACAGTAACCCAAAGTAGAGGAAATATTCACTGTCATTCATTTAATAGCAATCTTACAAGGCACTAACATAATATTTCTGATGACCCTCCAAACTGCAACATCCTCACCATTCTTTCAGGCACTGTTCTTCTCACCTCCAAGTGCAGTAGACCCTTGGTTTTCGTCGGTCTTAGTTATTGCCAATTTTGGTTTTGGCCGACTTTTTTCGTTGATTTTCAGCTTTAGTTTTCGTCGATTACCTTAGTTTTTGTCGATCATATGGAACCTGTCCAGTCCCCAGTGCACGGAAAGCAGGGGATAGTGTTGTACAGTCCATTTGTGAAAAGGCAAGGTAGTTGTATGAGGGTCTCAAAGAAACTACCTGAAACAAGTGGTGATGAAAGAATTCAAGGCCAGCAAAGGCTGGTTCGAAAATTTCAAGAAGCGAAGTGGCATACATAGTGTTGTAAGGCACGGTGAGGGTGCCAGTTCAGACAAACAAGCGGCTGAAAAATTTGTTGGGGGGAATTCAAATGTTATGCAGTCTGAAAAATTCCAACCCCAACAAGTGTTCAATTGTGACGAAACAGGCCTCTTTTGGAAGAAAATGCCTAAGAGGACCTACATCATGCAGGAGGAAAAGGCACTCCAAGGACACAAGCCTATGAAAGACAGGCTTACTCTTGTTGTGTGGTAATGCTAGTGGGGACTTCAAAGTGAAGCCTTTACTGGTGTATCCCTCTGAAAATCCCAGTGTGTTCAAGAAAAACAATTGTTGTTAAGAGTAAACTGTGTGATGTGGAAGGCAAACAGTAGAGTATGGGTCAAGGGAAATTTTCCTGGAATGGTTTAATGAAGTATTTGACCCCAGTGTGAAAAAATACCTCCTGAATAAGAAATTGCCACTCCAGTGCCTCCTGTTAATAGACAATGCTCCTGCTCATCCTCCAGACTTGGAAGACCAATTGTCTAAGGAATTCAGTTTTATAACAAGATTTTGCCTCCTAACACCACTCCTCTCCTCCAGCCCATGGACCAGCAGACCATTGCAAACTTCAAAAAACTGTACACCAAAGCAATGTTTCAGAAGTGCTTGGACATAACCTTGGACTCTGAATTGACCCTTAAGAGTGTTCTGGAAGAATCACTTCAATATCTTCCACTGCATAGGCCTTATAGATAAGGCTTGGCAGGGAGTGACTTCCAGGACGATGAACTCTGCTTGGAGAAAATTGTGGCCAAATTGTGTCCAAAAGAAGGATTTTGAAAGGTTTGAGGCTGACCCTGTTGACCATACACCTGTTGTGCAATCAATTGTGGCATTGGGGAATTCCATGGGGATGGATGTGCATTTGGAGATTGGAAGAGTTGGTGGAGGACCACAATGAAGAGCTAACCACTGATGAGCTGTAACAGCAACAGAAACCACAGCTGAGGAAATTGCTTCAGAGCAGGAGGAAGAGATATGACAGAAGGTGCCTTCTTCAAAGATTAAAGAAATTTGTGCAATGTGGACAAAAGTGCATTCATTTGTGGAGCAATATCACCCTGAGAAAGCTGTTGCAATCCGTGCTGGCGACTTACAATGCCATGTCCCATTTATGGCAAATCTTAGAGACGCCAGAAACAGACCTATCAGGACATATTTTGTGTGACTGGTCCAGCGACTCAAGCTGGTCCTAGCGACAGTAAAAAAAAAAAAAAAGGAGGGAAGTGACCCCAGATAAGAACTTGGCACCTAGTCCTTATGGAGGGGGATTCCCCTTCCAAACACTAACCTATCTTCCCTCTCCCTTCCTCCCTGCCAGCAACAGCCTTCAAAAAAGGTAAGTGTCATGTTTAATGTTCATTAATTTGTGCATGTAAATGTATATTTAACCCCTTGACTATCGCAACGCCAAATCCTGAGGTGTCTCCTAGTGTCGCAAAATTAAAAAAAAAAAAAATCTCATGAAATGATAGAGAATCTTTTCCCGAGTGTAATGACACCAAAAGAACGAAATATGATGGAAAACCGACGGAACTACGCTCTTGCAAAGTTAGCAACCTCGGCGATATTTACGAATTGGTGATTTCACCCACTTTGAGCCCTATTTTCGGCTAATTCCGTTGTTCCAGTTGACCAAACTCATTGCTATTTCTTTAGAACTCCATTTTTTCTATTAACCGAGTACAAGAAACTGTCCATTTACCGATTTCAACTACCCAATAACGAATGTAGTCAGAAATTTGCGATTTGGCCAATTTCACGAAAATTTCAAAATAGGGTCCAGAATGAACAATGCAGACATTCCTGGCTCTAAAATAACATTTTTCTTTGTTCATCAGTCACGTCTCCAGGCCCCTCTGATATTACTCTTGCCATTCTATTTTGAATTTTAATTCAAACAAAAAATAGAAGATTTACTGTTATGCAGACTACTGCAATATTGTAATACATAATTGTATAAATACTGTCAATCCATTCATGACTGCATATTAAAATGGCTACTTGGACGTTTATTGGAATGACATTTGTTTACTTTTGAACATCGGCAAAAATCAAACGTTTCCCCTACTTTGAGCTCCAATTCAAGGTTCTTTTCATGGTAAAACCAATCAAAATCACCTCTATTTCTATGTTTTCCATTCTATTAAATGAGACCAAGAAAGCCAGACTACAACCATAAATACTATACGAAAATAGACCACAAAGTTAGCATCTTAAAAAAAAAAAAATAAATAAATAAATGTCGGAGTTTTTTTTCCTCATGCGCTGTGTGCTGGAGGATTTTTTTTATATTGTGCACTGACCACACAGACCCATTCTCTCACATGTGGGCCTACCAGCTTTCTCCTGCTTGATATGAAGCCGCTAGAATTTATGAGTATACATACATCAAAAACGGTGGCTCGTAAGACGTATATATACGACCAAAACAGTCAAAGGGTTAAGGTAAAAAAAATTTTGATACTTCTGGGTGTCTGGAACGGATTAATTCCATTTACATTATTTCTTATGGGGTAAATGGTTTTGGCCGATGGCTCTGGAATGGATTAAACACGAAAACCAAGGGTCCACTGTATAGTCCAACTAACTAGTTTCCATAAATCTATTAATAAATGCTACCTTATACAGCAACAGAATGACATGTCGTGAAAACCACTGTACTCCACTCGTACAAGTCTGCTGGATGTTCAAGTGCTAAGCACTCAAAACCCCTTTTTTTCCCCTCCTTCCAACCCTTCCTGGATGATCCATAACCCTCCTTCCCTCCACCTCAAATTTACATACCCTCTTAAGTTGTCCTATTTTACACCATCCTCTCAAAGTGCCCAACAATCTCAAAACTCCTCCTCAGCCCTCTGAATTGTAGTTTTAATAACACCATTTTCAAATCTCAATGCTCCCAAAATCTGCATAATAACTACATATCCAACACCACTGTCTCGAGCATTTTCCTAACCATCATTAAAAGCCTAGCTTCATAACCATAAGTGAATACTAAACTTGTAGAACAAGACCTCATTCTACTCAGCATTAGTGCCACCCAAAGTAGGTTATCATTCTTGAAGTGTGTTTCACGATGACATGGTGAACAATGTAACGGCATCCACTAGCTCCACAATACCTTACATATCAGTATTTTTTCTATAATGCACATACCCATTTTCTATGATATAGGCCTAACCAAGCAGATAGTCGCCATTTTGGAGGCACTTAAATTTAGGTGTAAATTTACATCACCAGCAGCTTGAGATTTAATACTTTAAAAGTATCAGTCGCTATCTGCAACTTTTTCACAGATACCAATACCATAAAAATAAAAATATCCATTGATTTGCATATTTTGGCACATCCCTAAATATAATAATCATTGAAAAAAGAACTCCCACTGCATTCAATTCACCATAATTACTTGGCTTAACCCTTTCAGGGTCCAAGGCCCAAATCTGGAGTCACGCACCAGTGTCCAAGAATTTTCAAAAAAATAATTTATTTTTTCTTATGAAATCGTAGAGAATCTTTTTGTGAAGGTAATAAAACAAAAAGTTCGAAATTTGGTGGAAAATTGACGAAATTATGCTCTCGCCAATTTTGATGTGTCAGCGATATTTACGAATCGGCGATTTTGCCGACTGACTCCCATTTTAGGCCAATTACATTATTCCAATCAACCAAATTCTTAGCTATTTCACTAGTATTACTTCTATTCTATCGATTGAGCACAAGAAATCGCCAAGTCAACTGTTTCAACTACAAAATAAAGTGATCGGAAATTGTTAATTTGGCCAATTTAACACAAAGTTCAAAATATTCCAATTTCAAAATAGGGTCCAGAATGAACAATGTAGGCATTCCTGGCACTAAACTAACATTTCCTCTGTTCATTAGTTATGTTTTGAGGCTTTACAAATAAATTCCATTTTGATTTTTTATTCACAATGAATTTTTATTCACACAACAAAAAATAGAAGATTTACTGTTATGCAATACTGTAATAATTGTATAAATATCATCACCATATTTGTGAATGTATATTAGACCCACCAGCTGACGTGTATTAGACGTGTGAGGTCGTTTGTTTACTCTTGAATATCGGCAAAAATTTAACATTTCTGCTACTTTGAGCTCAGTTTCAAGCCATTTCCAGTGCTAAAACCAATCAAAGTCATCTCTATTTCTGTAATATGTCTTCCATTCTATCAAATGAGACCAAGAAATCGCAAATACAACTATAAAAAACATACGAAAAAAACACTGCAAAGTTGCTTTTAATCGAAAAATCATGATTTCATTTTTTTTCTCTCATTATACACAGTGTGCTGCAGGATCTGTTTTATGTGGTGCACACATACCACATAGATGTATTCTCTCATATCTAGGCCCAAATGTACCACTCAGTTTATCAGAGTGAGCTGAGCTCATGGCGTAGATCTACGGTTTGGACCCTGAACGTAAAGCCGCAGATCTACAGGACGGACCCTGAAAGGGTTAAACATTTAAATTTAGATAAACACCTGCATTATGAAGTGTCGTTCAGCATCTCTCTCAAAATTCTGTCTTGTAAATTCTAAGGAGTTGAGAAGAGCTGTTGTTGCTGCCAGTCTAACATGATCATTTGGTTCATCACGTTTCATCCCATGGACAATGGCAGTAAGAATGTTGTTGCTCTGAGCTGCTATAGCCTCTGGTTCAATATCCTGAAAAATAGTAGATAGAAATACAATTTATTCTCAATACACAAATAATTTTCACTAAATTTTTTAACACTACAGTATACACTAAATGGAAACCATTCTGAATTTGCATTAACCAAATTGTGTGTAGAGTACACACAATGTGCTAAACATCCATAACTTGGAAAGTTTATTTATGCAGCAATGCAATAGTGTCAAAACAAGCCAAAGATGCATTAACTTTTGCCATTAATGCAAAGAATCAACCCAAGCCTCACAAAATCAATCCTCTTTCTTTTTAACATGAGCTATTTCCAACTAAGGAAGGGTGACCTGAAGAAAACCTCATTCATCACTCATTAAACAGCATTCTTACCAGAAATGTGGAGATATCACAATTCAAATAACACCATCATCAGTGCACATATTACTTCCAACCTGCAGAATTCAAGCCAGCCTAACCCTCCAACAGCACAACCCATTTACCTTCCGAGCTAACTTCGCACGCATGAATCTCCCGTGGGAGATTCGTCTGTAAAAACTTGCATTTGTGGACAGTGGTGCCTATGCTAACCTTCCTAAGGTGTAGAAATATACCTAGTTGGACAAATCTTATTGAAGTTAGCTGGCCCAGTGGCTAACGCGACAGTCTGGAGTTTTGAGAATGACCGCGGGTTCAAACCCCATTCATGGTATGGTTTGACAGCCCACCTTTGAACAAAATCAAAGACTCGTCAATTATAAGATTCTTGAATGGATAGAAGTACATATTGAACTTCTTTCAGATACACAAAAACATTTCTAATCTTGTATAACCTGTCACTTCTGTCAGGCCTGGTTTTGTCAGAGAAGTGCAACATACATAACAGTAAGCTAAACCTGTTCACTGGGATGATTTCACTGAAGGCGAGGGTACAAATTAGCCGATCTGTGAACCAGTATGATTTTATATTATGCTTATAGACATAAAGCATAAGCATTGTTGCAAAAGGCAAATACATTTCTGCAACAGTTGTCTCTTTCCACCAGTGTAGTCTTGACTGTGGTGATATGATCGTATTTGCCATGGTGTACTCAAAATACTTGTTACTTTCCCTGACAATAGTTTCCATCAAGGGCTGGTCAAAGAATTCCAGTTCATTTGCAGTGTTTCCAAGGGGACAAGTAGGTAGACTTCCACTTTGAGAGACATCAAACTGGTGGGGCTTGGGAACAAAATTGAGATTTTGCTGCCAATCCCAGATATGGTTTGCTGGTGGACACTGGACATCATAAGCTAGTTGTGCTGGTAGTTGTGGTTGTGGTGGGCTGGTGGTTGACGCTCCACTTTGTCCTTGAGCTGAGGAGTCAGTGGCGTGGGTCCCAGCCTGGGCAGGTGAGTCATGCATGGCCATGGCACTACCATCACCACTACTACCATCACCACTACCACCATCACAACCAATACCACCACCTACTGATGCCTGTGGTCTATCCATGCCAAGTGTAGCCACATCATCCTCACTTTCACTGTCTATTCCGGGTGTAAGGCCACGGGATGTACTCCATCCCATGGGCACTGCATAGGCAACACTACCCAAGTGCATGCGGCGGTGTATATACCGACGTTTCACTGGTGAATATGATTCCTCGCTATCACTACTCGAATGATCGTCAAGAGCAATAAAATCACAATGCACGTCACTATCATCATTACTGAAGTCAGAGGCCTGGCCACGCGAAAATTAGCTTTCTCTGGTGACGAGGTAGAACTGAACGTGACAGACGTGCCTACACTAGAGGCTGAGGATCATCAGGATTTTCTGCACTATTATCGATATCCTGGTAATTCCTTTCGGTCACTAACTGATCAAAGCCATAGAATTCGTCTTCATTTCCACTTCCATCATATTCAGAACTATCAGATAGGAAGAGGCGAGTCCCAATTCGGCTTGGAGTGAGAGCTGCCTTGCGACAAGGCATGGTGAACAAAGGTAACCGGGCCAGCATTCCCACAATGCTATGTTGGCCCCTAGAATTTTTCTTCACAGTGCATACACACCACGCAGACCCGTTCTCTCAAATGTAGGCCTATCAGCCTTCTCGCGCTAAATTCAACGCCGCTAGAATTTTGGCGTAGATCTACGGTTTGGACCCTCAACGTATAGCCGTAGACCTACAGCACAGACCCTCAAAGGGTTAATGCCACTTAGGATTACATAATATAAGGGATCACAAAATTATGAAAAAGGTGTGATCAAGTTATATAATTGATTTTATCTTACAGATATAAAGCAGACATTCTATGAGGTTGAAACTAAATGATCAACAAAATTCCTTAATGTGATGATTTTAAGTATCAGCACATAAATGAAGTGACAAATAGAAAGAGGCTCTCAATACTATACCAAGTATTTACTAGAACAGAGATAGACATCTTAAATTATCTGAATCCACCTAATATTCTATCCTCCTTTCACAATTACTCTAGCTACCACCAATAAAGATCAGACATATCAATCACTTTTCTAAAAACAAGTTCAGAAAGATTTATTCTATCCATACAGTAAAAGAACTGCTGCCTATCACATCTTTCATAATTATTTATCCTCTTCTTAAAACAATTATGTATTAAACACTTACCTCAAAACACATGAAGTTTACTTTGCAACTCCAAACTACTACTACCCCCCCCCCCCCCATTATGCCTTCTACAAAAGTCATTTACCTTTAGCAGATATCTCAAGTATTCTCACTTGATTTAAAACAATCAAAATATTTACCCATCTCCAAAAACCTCTAATTCCTCACTTCGAATGGCATTAAGGAAAGGTTAATCTATATTTAATAAAACTTCTGGCAAGGTTGTATTAGGTTAAGTTTTGGTTAAAATTAAATAACTGAACTAACTATTCTAATGAATATATCGATCAACTGGTATACCTGCAGGAGGAGGGTGTTCCGGGGGTCAATGCCACTACAGCCTGGCCCATGACCAGGCCTCTTATAAAATAATTTAAGAAAGTCTGCTCATTTGATATCACTGCTTAAAAGCATAACATACTGTGTATAATTGATCTCCATTACATAAACATTAACTGAATTTCTAGTGACATTTCTGAACCCTATGCAATGTAATAAATTTGTTAGCCACCACTATTTCTCACCTGACATATATATCCAATTGCTTCTAAAGTAGATTCTTTGGTCATATCCGTTGCCCCAGGAGCAGTCACATTGGCCACTAACTTGTCAATAAGGTCTGGCCATTGCCCAACAGGGATTTCTGTGAGTGCTATGTAGGCTACGCACTGAGCAGCAGAACTAGGACGATTCTGTTCTGTGCCCAGTGCCCCAACAACCTGAAAAACTAATTTATTTAGAAAATGGTCCATGTAAATGTGTGTATGCAAAAAAATGCAAATGACAATACTAGAAGATGAAATGAGAAACAGCAAGATAACCTTTGCTGTTCACCAGTAATATTTTATTTATATTTAAAACGTACAAGTTTCTGAAATCTTACTTTTTTTTTAACCTCACTTTTAGACAGATTTTAGCGCTACCATTGTCTTATTTCTCTGCAAAACTGCATTAAAAATACAGTGGTACCTAGGGATTCGAACTTGATTCGTTCCAGAAGGTTGTTCAAGTGCCGACACCAAACAAATTTGTTCCCACAAGGAATAGTGTAAATTAGATTAATCCGTTTCAACCCCCCCCCCCCAAATTACACTTATAGAAGCACTCACAAATACACTTGCGTGACTGTTCGAGTTTTGAGCTGCTCGTATCCCGAGGTACCACTGTATACAAGGGAATTATTCCAACACTCCAGATCATTTTATGCTTATATCAAGTACTGTATACTAAAAAAAAGTAAAACAGCCAACAATACTCTTTATACTTCATATTTAACTTACATTACTTTTAACGTAGTCCCTGACATCTGGAGGGAATGCCAACCAGCGCTGTTGGTACTGTACTTTAACTTTGGCATCATTTGAGGCTAATGTATTCTTCAGTTGAATACCCGCAGCCATACGTGCCACCGTTGAGTTCCCACCATGGTGAAGGACATCGCTGAGTATTTTGACATATTCTGGCTGTAAGAAAAAACTCCATTTTATTTTTTATAAAATGAAAAAAATTCTAAACATTCATGATGTATCACTATTCATTGCTCTGAATACCTAAGACAATTTATCAGTCAGTGTAAATAAAGGGATAACTTTTTTTTTTAGAAACACCTGGTATTTATAAAGGAGTGTGAGTGTATATTTACAAATACTGTATTGTATGTTTATTAAAATACTGTATTGTATGTTTATTAAGAGGTACCATAAACCAGCACTACAGTTGTAATCTAGGTTCACAGGGTTATAAATTATTTAATTATTACATTCATGGGGAGGAGTAATAAACTTTAAGGCTCATGCAGTGCCTGTGGAAATGGAAAACAACAGGGTTCAATACATGAGCATCAGAGAACCTTACTGGTGGTGATAATTTTAAAGATCAATTAAGTTAATATACACTACAACATTCTCCTTAAAGACATACTTGCAGGTAACCCAGAAATTATTAAAGACCCTCCAAGAGTGTCATACAGTACAGTAGGACCCCACTCATATGGCAGGTTAGGTTCCAGGCTACCGCTGGAAAGCGGACATTGCCAGAAAATGAAGAAAGCCATTTTTCTCCACTTATAAATGCCAGGTAAGTTTATACTAACACATTAAGAACTAGGCATTAAAAACAATAAAATGTAAGATGCACACAGACCACCCATTACAGTGGACCCTCGGGTAATGGCGGCATCGGCTAATGCCCAAGAACTCTTGTTAAGGACATTCATCCCGAACGTCTCCGAGTGGTCTGAGCCCATGTATAGCCAGTGTGCCATTGTTTACGAGCCATAGAGGACAATTCCACACGTATATGCGATATATTTTGCATCTGCTAAATAAGCCACCATGGGCACAAAAAAAGCTTCTAGTGCCAGCCCTGTGGTAAAGAAGGAAAGAAACAAAAGAATTCAAGAAAAAAGTGGTAGCAAAGTACCAAAGTGGAGGAGGAAGAGAGGGGAGAATGTGCCTCTTGTAGTGATTCAGCGATCCTACGATATGAACGATACTAAAGCAGCAGGTGTTGATAAAGGCTATAGAGCCAGCCAGCGATACAGTGTAGAATTAACAGTGTAGCAAGTAAGTTAAGCGATAAAAAAACGACACTAAAGTAACTATGTTGTTGGATGTATATTGGGCCACTGAACATACGCCAGCCTACTATCTTCCACCACCCTAAACCTCTGCCAGCATCTCCTCCATCAAACTAACTAAACTAACATCTCCAAGGTAAGTGTAAACATAAAAGTGTAAGTATAAAAGTAAATATAAGTGTAAATATAAAAGGACCCCAATGGAAATAAGTCACTGACTTTTTTGAGTTATCCTAGGTACTTTACACATATGCTGCTATGTATGATAATCTACGTAGCTATGTGTATACCTGAATGAACTTACTTATTTATAAATTAAATGTAAATATTTATTTATAAATTACATACATTAAGTGTGATAGTGTTGGTGGCTTCTGCTGCCACCTCCACCGCCACTTAATATGTACGGCTTCTCTCAGTGGTCCTTATAAGCCCAACAATACTTCCACCACTTACTCTTCTCATACATTATGACATTTTATTCACTCTAGAGTATATATGTTTCTATGTTATTAACATTGTTTATTATGTCACATTAGATGAACTGTGATAGATAAATAAGCCGTAGAGATATTAGCATCATATTGAAGCATAATAAACTCGTCTTCCTCGCCGCCACCTTGTCTTCCATACACCAACAAGAGTCAATAAAGGTAAGTGTGATGTTAAATGTTCACTTATCCATTTTATTAGGGCTTTATATTTATTTGTCATTGTTTTCTGTATGTATATCTATACAGTGAACCCCCGATCAACGAAGGCATCGTCTAACGATAAATTCGACTAATGAAACATTTGAGCGTAAAAATTTTGGCCCGACCAACAATGAAAAACTTGACCAACACGATTCGTCCCGAACACGTCCACGTCTCCTGTGTGGCCTGAGAGCACCTTAGTTGCCCTGCCTTCAGTTAGTGTGCCAGTGTTTACAAGCCAGTGCAGTCGCATCCATGCATACATTTGGTACATTTTGTATTATTCCAGTGTTTTTAGTGCTTGTAAGTGCTAAATAAGCCAGCATGGGTCCCAAGAAAGCTTCTAGTGCCAACCCTGTGGTAAAAAGGGCGAGAATTACAATTAAAATAAAGGAGATCATCACAAAGCATGAAACTGGAGTGTGTCTTCGAGCTGGCCACGTTGTACAACAAACCCCAATCAACAATCACTACTATCTTGGCCAACAGAAAGGCAATCAAGGAAGCTGTTGTGAATGGTGCAAGTATGTTTTCGAAACAGATCAAAAGTACTCAAAGATGTTGAGTGTGTTATTGGTGTGGATAAACGAAAAACAGATATGAGGAGATAGCATCTCTCAAGCTATCATATGTGAAAAGGCAAAGCAGTTGCATGACGATTTAATAAAAAAAATGTCTGCAACTAGTGGTGATGCGAGTGAATTTAAGGCCAGCAAAGGTTGGTTTGAGAGATTTAATAATTGTAGTGGCATACAGTGTGGCAAGGCATGGCGAGGCTGCCAGTTCGGACAAAAACGCAGCTGAAAAATATGTGCAGGGAATTCCAGGGGTACATAGAGGCTGAAGGATTGCAATCCCAACAAGTGTGTGATGAAACAGGCCTGTTTTGGAAGAAAATGCCAAACAGGACCTACATTACACAGGAGGAAAAAGCACTCCCAGGACAAGCTTATGAAGGACAGGGTTACTTTAATGTGTAGAAATGCTAGTGGGGATTGCAAAGTGAAGCCTCTACTCGTGTATCACTCAAACTCCCAGTTTTCAGGAAAAAAATGTTGTCAAGGCTAATTTGTGTGTGATGTGGAGGGCATGGGTCACTAGGGACATTTTTCTATGACTGGTTTTACCATGTATTTGGCCCCACTGAAAAATTACCTCCTGGAAAATAAATTGGACCTTAAGTGCCTCCTGTATTAGACAATGCTCCTGCTTATCCTTCAGATTTGCCAGAGCAAATTTCGGGGCAGTCGAGTTTTAAGTCAAGTTTTTGCCTCCTAATACCACTCCTCTCCTCCAGCCCATGGACCAGCAGGTCATTTCAAATTTCAAAAAACTGTACACCAAAGCAATGTTTCAAAAATGCTTTGAAGTGACCTCAGACACTATTGACCCTAAGAGTTTTGGAAAGATCACTTTAGTATCCTCAGTTGCATAGATCTTATAGGTAAGGCTTGGGAGGGAGCGACTAACAGGACCTTGACCTCTGCTTGGAGGAAACTGGCCAGAATGTGTACAACAGGGATTTTGAAGAGTTTGGGGCTAACCCCGAGGAGCCGATGACAGTTGTGGAATTTATTGTGGCACTAGGGAAATCCTTGGGGTTGGAGGTTAGTGGGGAGGATGTGGAAGAGTTGGTGGACGACGACAATGAAGAACTAACCACTGATGAGCTAAAAGAGCATCTGCAACAGCAAGAGGCCACAAGTGAGGAAATTGCTACAGACGAGGGGAAAGAGAAATTGAGGAAGTTGCCTTCTTCAATGATTAAAGAAATGTGTACAATGTGGACAAAGGTGCAAAGCTTTATGGAGGAAAATTACCCTGAAAATTGCAAGCCATGCTGGTGACTTTTGCAATGACAATGTTGTGACCCACTTTAGAAAAATCTTAAAGGAACACAAGGTACAGAGCTCTATGGACAGATTTTTGGTGCAACAGAAGTCCAGTGACAAGTTGTTCCCAGTGGCATTAAAAAACAAAGGGAAGTAACCCCGGAAAAGGACTTGCTACCTAGTCCTTAGGGAAGGGGATTCCCTTCCAAACAATTGTAAACTCCTCCATCTCCCCTCCTCCCATCTCATCACTACATCTTCAATAAAGGTGTCATTTATTCTTCATTAATTACAGTACATTATTTATTGTACATGTATCCTCCTTTTTCTGTGTAGGAAAATGTACATTTCATGTGGAAAATTTTTTTTTCATACTTTTGGGTGTCTGGAACGGATTAATTGAATCCATTATTTCTTATGGGGAAAATTAATTCAACTAACGATAAATTCGACTAACGACGAGCTCTCTGGAATGGATTAATATCATTGGTCGAGGGTCCACTGTATTTAATCTTAAAAAAAAAAATTTTTTTTTGTTAATACTTTTGGGTGTCTGAAAGGGATTGATTGGATTTCCATTATTTCTTATGGGGAAAATTAATTTCGCTAACAGCAAAATCGGTTAAAGGCATGCTCTCTGGAATGGATTAATGCCTTTACCCAAGGGTCCACTGTATTTATACCTTAAAATATTTGTAGTCTTAATGTAGGACAAGAGGCGAGTTGTATTTACCTGTAGGAAGTCAGGTGTGGGAGGTATGGTACCATGCAGGTCAGCCCACCCCACCAACACGTAATATACTATGACATTTAAAGCACCCAGAGCGATAAAATGCACATACAGTACATTCATTACCTTAAAATATTTGTAGTCTTACTGTAGGGTGAGAGTAGTAAACTAAGTAAAATTAATAAACAAGAGTGTGTAAATGAGAGAGGAAAGACACTGAGGATGTAAAACGGACAAATGCGTCTGGTTACGGTTGATACACGTTCATCTATACCTAACATCTCATATTTGCTAATTTATTCCACTGTGGGGTGTATTTATCACGTTTATGTTACGTAGCGTGTTTATTATACATGTATAATTTTGAAAAATATCATAGGATTAATGAAAATGTTTAATGTAATATACGACATTAAATTAACCCTTTCAGGGTTGGTGCCATACTAGTACGGCTTGCAAGCCAGGGTTGGTGCCGTACTAGTACGCATAAATTCTAGCGCCTTCAAATCTAGCGAAAGCTGGTAGGCCTACATATGAAAGAATAGGTCTATGTGGTCAGAGTGTGCAGTATAAAAAAATCCTGCAGCACAGTAAATAACGAGAAAAAACAAACTGTTTTTGGTTTAAA